GAGGTTAGAAAACCTTTTTGCCTCATGCACCAGGTGAGCAATTCTCCTTGAAGTGAATTGGCACCATGCTTACGTCAAGAATCAGGTCTTAATATAATCAACCAAACTGTCTTCGATACTGCAGGTTTGTGTTTGAGGGCCTGTTGCAAGTATATTTCCTAAAAGACAAATATTTAGAAAACAGTGTCTCATACTTTGAGGCTGAGAGTCTTTGGTGCGCCTTCCAGAGAATCAGTTCTCAATTGGGAATCACGATAAGAGGTCTTATCCAAAGTGGAAGCGGTGTGAGATACTGTGGAGTAGCCCTCTTCTTGTTCTTCATCTTTCTTTCCACTTTCTGCTTGCTTGCTTCTCGTTCTGGAGTCCGCTGCTTGAAAGACACAGAGAAGTGAAATGTTATTTGACATGCCTCATCATTCAAAGTGGATTGCAACATGCAGGATGATCTTCACCATGTAACTTTCACATGCAAAAGTAATTTGATGTTCACGTGTGTTTTGCGGTTTCTCATGCAATTTGTTACTAAGATGCTTCCCATCTTCGACTGAGTTATAGTAATAGTTTTCTGAATATGTTTGAGTTACATCTAAGCTTTTATCATCTGTAGAGAGATGTAAATGAACAGACCTTCAGCTGAACCTAACACACACCTCCACACACACACTCACTATCCCCACAACTCATAGGGAGAAAACACCGAAAGGGAACACGAGTGTGGCCTATGAATAATGTAAAAGATGACAGTGCATCCATCCTGCACCCGTAACCCCATTCCTCTACCTTTTGTAGAATATATAGCTCCACTGAATGTGCTGCCATGACCATGTGGCATATATGTTGAGCATCATTACAATATAATGTCACTAGCCAAGCCATTGCCACAGGATATACCTCGGCCTTTAGGCGTCAGAATTAATGTCCAGTGAAAAGAACGACATTTTAAAGTGAAAACTGGGTGAAAAAACGGTGGGATGGTACATGTGGGATGGAAATAAATGGTGTAATGAATTGAGAGAGTTTAATAATTTAAAAAAAAGTGCTGTGCTGCAGTTGTTTTTCATGACATAGCCCAAAGCAAGCAGGTGAGACATTCCTGAGTCGTTTGACTATGACCTCCACTGTTAATACTGTAAAGGCTTCCTCACCGCATATACAGTAGATATACATCCATCAGCCACAACATTAAATCCACTGACAGGTGATGTGAATCACATTTATCAGTTCATTACAATTCAATGTTCTGCTGGGAAGCCTTGGGTCTTGTCACTGATGTGGATGTTGCTGTGACACGAACACATCCATTCATCCATTATCTACACATGGCTATATCCTCTGTAGGGTTGGGGGGGCTGGAGCCTTTCCCAGCTGACTAAGGGCGAAGGCAGGGGACACCCTGGACAGGGTGCCTGTCTGGAATCAGACAACCAAGCACACTCACATTCACACCTATGGAAAATTTAGATTTGCCAATTAACCTCAGCATGTCTACCAGCACTGGCGCCCCCCAGGGTTGGGTCCTCTCCCCACTGCTCTTCTCCCTCTACACCAATAATTGCACCTGAGGGGACTCTTCTGTGAAACTCCTGAAGTATGTGGACGACACCATTGTAATCGGTCTGATCTGGGACAGTGACGAGTCTGCATGCAGACAGGAGATGGGAAAGCTGGTCCACTGGTGGAGTCAGAACCACCTGGAACTGAACCCACTCAAAACTGCAGAGATGACAGTGGACTACAGCAGAAATCCCCTGACACCTGTCCCCCTCACCATCCTCAGCAACACAGTGAATAATGTGGACACCTTCAGGTTTCCACAGTCTCTCGGGACCTGAAATGGACTCCCCACATAGACTCTGGAAAAAGGCCCAGAAGAGGTTACACTCCCTGCAACAGCTCAGGAAGCTGCCACAGGAGCTGCTGATCACCTTCTACACTGCCATCATCCAGTCTGTCCTCAGCACTTCCATCACTGTCTGGTTTGGATCAGCCACCAAACGAGACTGACACAGACAGCAAAGTACAATCAGGTCTGCAGAGAGGATAATTGGGGCCGACCTGCCCTCCGTCCAGGACTTGTACCTGTCCAGGGTCAGGCAGCGGGCAGGCAACATCTCTACAGATCCCTCACACCCTCCACACAAACTCTTTAAACTCCTCCCGTCCAGTAAGCGCTAAAGCACTTTACACCAAAACCACCAGACACAGAGACAATTTCTTCCCGCAGGCTGTTACTCTGATGAACTCTCACTAGTCTCAGAGACTTAGGAACCACTGTGCAATAGCCCACACCCATGCATATTTTCACTGTATTAAATATTACCACACCGACCTCAGTAACCCTGCTTCGTGGCACACATATTGTAAATGCTGCTATTTATTGCTCTTACTCTTATTTCTATTGTTCTTACTATTAATGTATTGCTCTAGTTTATTTCTTATACAGAGAGCTAAGATTCACTGGAGTCATATTCCCTGTTAGCGTGCACAAACTTGGCCAATAAAGTTGATTCTGATTCTCTGAAACATGGGAGGAAGCCAGAGCCCCCACTAAGAACACATGGGAGAACATACAAACTCCACATAGCAAGATCCCAACCAGGGGCCAAGATTCGAACCTGGGACCTTGTAGCTGTTAGGCAACAGTGCCAACCACTGCACCACTGTTGACACAAACCATCCTTAACATACCATACCTTAATAATTTTCCAGACTAAGTCCACCACTTGGTCTGCCGAACTGCAGAAAACTGCTCAGGAATGGCTCAAAGAACACAATATAGAACTCAAAACTCACCTCCAAACTCCCCTGGCAAAATCATCATGATGATCAGTCACAACCTATGGGACCCAAAAGACCCACTATCAATACCCCAGTGCCACACATCCCAGGACACTCCCAGTGGTCCCCTATCCGTGGTCTGCTGGTTCGGAAGCACAAGGTGGAACTACACAATTTAAGGCAGATGGTTTTAGATGGTTTTAATGCTGTGGCTGAGCTGTGGTATAACACAGGATATGCAATATATCATCTTTTGTTGGTGTGTGAAACTACAGCCAGGCTGCAGTTGTTAATTTGGGCTAACAATAAGACTGAAACCTGAAAAACAGCCAATATGGGTGGAGTGAAAGAGAAATGACGTACAACATGTAGCTATAAAGTCAGCTTTAGAGCTGTTGGTAGGCACAGAGCCAGACCAGCTGTTTCCAGAAGCTAATATAAGCTGACTGGCCGCAATATGTAGCTTCTTATTTACTGTGCAAACAAAATTGAAAGCCAACTCTTTGCAAGAAAACAAACACTGACAAACTATGCCTTTATGATGATTGTTTGGTCTTATTGCCAAATGTTCAGTGCAACATGCAAAATGTCATGTGTGCAGATCATCATATCACCTCAGTTCCACTGGGACTAGTATGTTGGATAAATTACTCTTATTAACAGAACCTCTTGAAAAGCAAATGTCTCTGTGGCTTTAACAAAATTATATCTCCTAATGCAGCTTTCATATAACCTTGAGCTTGTCCTAACCTAAATACTAGGAGATTACAAGGAAGATCCTTCAAAATAATATAAGCTACTTTGGAGATTTTGCAGCCTCCTGTTAATATAAGCAGCTGCCATTTTTTTTTGTTTTTTTACCTTTACATTCTATATGGAAGTTTAGGAAGTCAGAGGAGTATGAATGAGTGTGTTTGCACTGTATTTAAATCTGCAGCTAAACCCAGTGTCTGCTGATACCAGTTGGGATTTATTTTAAACAATGTAAATGTACAGTAGGAGAAGTGTGGAGGGTATGTGTGGATCTATTAACAATGCATGAGGCATAAATCAGAAGGTGAGAAGCAGAGTGTAAAAAAAAAAGACTTTCCTCCCTCTAAGACCACCTTGGCACATTCAGCTTGCTCTTACGCCTCGGAAATGTGATCTTATCTACAATAGCTTTCGAATATACGAGCCACTGAAAGGAATATACAGATCAATTGGCATAGGTACTTTAGATTTTCACTTCTGAATCAAGGTGATGAAATTCATACCTGGGCCAGTATTGAAAGTGTTCTGCCTGCGCCTGAAATTGCTCCGAGCGGAGAAGGCTGCCTCATCTGCATTCCCCTTCTGCCTGCCAGCCTTTGTGTTTGAGGGACTTGGCCCTCTGAATGTCAATATTCCCAAAGTAGCGCTGTGGTGCTGCGTGTCTGCAGCATCAGCCTTGCTGTTAACACCATGAGCGGATGCTGTTTGCTCGACCTTGCGGCCCCACTGCTTTGATAGAGGGCCTCTGCATTGACCCGAAGTAGTCTCTCGGCCATTGCGTTTGTTGCTGCCCAACATGGCCGCTCTGGTTCTCCTGTAACCCTCATTTGTTTTGGCTGGTTTATCTGTGGAGGATCTCCGGCAGGATGAGGAACCAAGGCGAATAGACAAAGCAGATCTATACAAAGTGGGCTGACCTGCTCTTCTTTGCTCCAGTTCATCAAGAGAAATACAAAGTGACTTGTCCAAAAACACAATGGAGCTGGAGGACCTCAGAGGCACCTCATGATGGATACAAGCCCGGTAAGAAGGCTGTGCGGAAAACAGGTTCATTACTGAGCCACCTTTGACTTCCTGCTTTCTGCCCTCCTCTGTGCAGCTCAGTCTGAATTGTACAAATTGTACTTTCCTCCTTCCTGGATCTCTCACTGCCAATCCATCAGCTGGTGAGTAGGCCTGTCTGAACTCATTTGGCTTCAAGATAGTAGGATTCTGTCTGCGCGGGTCCGGTTGGGAGTTGGAGACTCTCATTGTGGATGTGGATACAACTCGTTTTCCAAAGGTTTCTGGTAGTTCTGGAAGAGTTGATGCATTCACAGGCTGTGTTGGAGCGGAAGGAGACAAAACTTCCCGCGAGGTAGAAGGTGACGGCTGGACCTTCAGGGCTGCGATGGTTATGGGAGAAAATGCTGTCTGTGCACTCTTTTCCACCACATCTGGGACACTTGCAGTCTTGAACAAGTTGGAAACTCCACTGAAGGATTCACTATCTGCAGTCTGAGAGTAGGCGGACTGTATTATTGCTCTAAGAGACACACTCTCCTTCGCCTCTTGCCCCCACCACACACCCCATGACAGGACATTCCTGTGCAGTGAAGCGGTGATGTCTTTACTTGAGGGCTATGAAAACACAGAGAAAAGAAAGGAGAGAAGAAGAAAAAAAACTTCATATCAGAGTTGTGCTCCGAGTGTGCAATTGAGTCCTCTACAAACTGAAAGATTGCGAAACTGAAATGAAACCAAGACAGACTGCAAATACAAAGATATTAGCTCCCGTAATGTGATTGGTGGGACTTATTCTCTGCTCTCCGGCTCGACTTATTTCGTTATCTGTTGCTGTTGCCATGACAATGTGTCACTTGATGGACAGCATGTGGGGACAAATTATCCATGACATTTAAAATGAACAATCCAGATTTGTCCTCTTAAAAACAAAACAACAAAAATAACAACAACAAAAATAACAACAACAACAACAACAAAACAAAGCAGCAGTTTCTGCTCTATTTTTGTTTCTTACTTCAGTAAAAAAAAAGAAAAAAGAAAAAAGAACAGATACTTGAATTAAACCCACTTTCTTGCCTCTTTTGTAAGTCTATCTTGTTGGTTAACATTTTCCTACTCTCTGTGTTTGAAGGGCAAACAATAAAACATCTTCCTCAAACAGCTCTTGTGTTGACTCATATCCCCAAGACCCAAATACCAGGAGGGTTTCACACAAATATAATTTAGCTTAATGAATGACTTTGCCTTTTGCTTGATTGCTGTTGTAAACCGGAGAAAATGGAAATCTGAGGACATCATCTAATTAGATCAGAGATCCAACATTATACAATTATGCAAGAAACAGTGTTTTATTATACATCCAGACATGGATTTTCTTTTTTGCAGAAGATGTAATTTTGTTTTGTTCACAGGGATACCAGTGAAATAGATTTCTGGCTCAAAATATTTTAACAAATGTAAAATGCATTTTAAATAGAAGCGTTCAGATTTTTATATCACTGTATGTCTTCTTCCCTCAGGCAAAACCATTTGCATCTTCAAGTAAATATATATATAAATAGCTGAAGCACACAGTAGCTGAGTGCAGCAGTGTGTCCAGTCTGAATTTGTGGAGGCAGTGTTCAGTAACTCTCTGGGTCATAAGACCTTGGGCAAACAGATAAGTACACCCCGAGCTGTTTACCCCATTGATGTTAGGTGTCGAAAGGCTTGGGAATCTCCAGCTGCGGAAACCCACTGACATTGACCAGCTGTCTTTTACTTTTTCATCCGTCAGTTCACAACAGAAAGAGAAGCATTAGCACGCCGCAGCTTCTGATTTTAACTAGGCTGCATGACATAAAAAAAGAAGTCCACTTCAAAGGCACACTCCTCAACATGAAACACAATTACCAGACTTACCTACTCATCACAAAAGTACACCTATCTTGTCACAGAAAATAGTATTTCTGCCAGCACTTCAATATTGCATTATGCACTCCACTTTATCATTCCATCATTTATTCCATGCTTTGAGCCATGTTCATTCCCACCTATCAGCACCTAAAGAAAAATCTCTCTCTCTCTGGCACTGCGCCGCTCAGCTCGCCTGATGATGACTCTCCTAACGTGGTTATCTGCCGTGCTTGCCTGGCATATTTTGGATAATTCCTTAACAGCACACAATAGCTTAAATGTTTAGGCCTTTTGTTTCAACACGCAAAGGAGTCGGCTTATCAACTCATTTCATTCAACACTGAGCGTAATTTAGTTTTTTAATCATGATACACCGAGTGCACTGCTCTCAATTCAGCTTGCACAAAGCCCAATGTAGTTATTACAGTCAATAAAACTGAGATTATGACAAAAATGGGGGCATAATTTACTGTTTAAATAAACTTGTCAAGCATACAGTGTTCATTCAGCATTATACGGCATCACAGGGAGGCCCTGCACATTTGGGCCATGTTTTTGGCCTGTGAAGATGTTTGCATGGATGCTGCAACGCATACAATCCAGGAAAAGCAATTATGTTTACCCCGTGTGTTCTACTTTGAGGCGAATCACATGGGACAGGAATGCAGGCTTGAACAAC